TTTTCTTTACATAAAACTCTCTCTTATACATGAGTCCCTGTGGATTTGTTTCTCCAAAGTACCTAGACTAATACAGGGGAACACACCACAGAGATCCAGGGCTGCGTATGCAGGTGACAGAGGGAGGGTCTGAGTGTCTGGAGAGGACCAGGAAACGCTTCCTTATGAGTTGATAGTGTATTGTGGGGGGTGGGCCTCCCTCCTCCCGTCCCTAACATTAGCGAATGCAGAAAAGAAATTGAGCCTCAGTAGAAAACTAAGTGTCCCCTACTGAACACCCTTCCTCTGGATCAGATTTTGAAACTGGTGTCAGTGCTCTTTCATAACTCCCGGTGGTGCATGTGGTTAAGCACTGGGTTAACCAAAAGACTGGCAACTCAAAACCCACTGGCCACTCCACAGGTGAAAGACGAGGCTGCCTGCTCCTGTAATGATCCACAGACTCAAAAACCCGACGGCGCAGTTCTACTTGGCCCGGAGGGTTTCGATGAGTCAGAACCCACCCTCAACTCGATGGCAGTGGGTTTTGTTTTGGTTTCGGGCTGTACTTTGTAGGTAACCAATGAGAAGCCCTGGGATGTGGTGGGTTACCCTTTAAGCTGCAAGCTATAAGGTCAGCAGTTTGAAATTACCAGATGCCATGTGGAAGAAAGAAAATGATTTTCAGTCTTGGAAACCCACAGGGCCAGTTCAACTCGGTCCTATAGGGTCGCTGTGAGTCAGAATCAACTCAATGGCTGTGCTTTTTAAAAATTATTTATTATTGTTTTGTAGGCAACTGATAGGCCCAGCAGACCCAGTCTAGACCCAGGCATGCTTACTCAGTGGTTGTGAAGAGAATGGGTTTACAGTCCTTTTATGTCATGTGCACGATCGAAGCTTGTTTCACTAATTACTAGAATTCTGTGGCAAGAGTATTGAGCCTCTATTTGCATTTCTCTTAGTATTGAGAAAGGTGGGAGTTACATAATTTCCTGTCACTTGATAAATAGGTCTAGAAGTAGAGTCTAGTCTGTCAATCAGGTTACAGCCTGATGGTGCCTCTTCATGGGCATGGCCTTCTCATGAGGATTCTGGGAACGTCCTCCCTTTCTCCCTAAAGGTGGACCACACTCTCTGCTTCACCTTCCTGTAGAGACACCGAGAGAGCTGAAGGAGCCAGTGCCGAGATTCTTCCACCTGCACTGGATCCACAAGACTTTCCACCCACCGGCCTGTGATCTTCTGGCATTCAGCGCCATTGCGTGTGCTGGGTGAGTCTGAAGAGGAATTTATGTACTAGTATAGTATAGTATAGTATAGTATAGTATAGTATAGTATAGTATAGTATAGTATAGTATAGTAGTACTTGTATAGTACATAAATTGGACATATGGGCTAATATTGGACTTATTGACTTGATCTGGACTTGGCTAGGAAGTTTTCTTGATATACGATTACTCTTTGAAATAACGCTCTCTCTTACACCAGATGAGAGTGTCTGAATTTGTTTCTCTAGTCACCCCGGACTAACACAGAAAGCAGCATGTGCTGCTCAGAAATATCCAGGACACTAATGATGTGAGGGCATTCATGAGACAGTACATGTTTCAACTCATCCTCATGACGATGTCTCGTAATACTAATGGAGCCATTGTTAACATACAAAGTGCTCCCACGTGTTTGTTTCATTTCACTTCCACAGCACTCCTCAATCTCTCGGGAAGCTCTCTCCTTTCTCTGGCACTTCCATCAATGCACACTGACACTCCAGAGGCTCCCTCCTGAACAATCCACCAGGCTGGGCTAGGGGATTCTCCAACCAGGATTTCAGGACACAGGAAGGCCAAAACACCCCATGAAGCTGGCCTCCATGAGAACATCTAGTGGGTACATTCCACTTCAGAGTCTCCTCTGGGCACTCTCTCACTCCAGTTCTGCACAGAAGAAGATTTACCTGAGAGTTTACCAGGCGAATGGTCGTTTTCGTGCCCACATCTTGTTGGAAGTTGGCCGTGGGCGCCGCATTAAACCTCAGGACAGCATCATGATCATCTGTAAACCAGAGGGAAAGCAGAATAGAGGTGAGGAAGGCTGCCAATACCCAGAAAGTGATGGGCCTGGAGGAGAAGGCAGAGGAGGAAACAGTCGGGGCTTTCCCACTGTGACCCTTCTTGGTATACGGGGAAATTATGGTATGTGTGTGGGTCAGTCTCAGACAAATCTCAGATCTAAAAAACTACCTCCTGCCAGGCCTGGCCACTGAAAGGGCAAACGAGTTCTTATATCCCAAAGCCAGACAAGACACCAATATGCCAAAGTATAATAAAAACTGAACAAGGGCAGTGGGCTACTCACTCATATAATGGAATCACGATTTTAATTATCAAAGGAGCAAACCACTCTTGTTATTACTAGAGGAGAGTATATTTCTTCCCTCAGGAAAAAATAAAGACACCATCCATGGCACTCTGACATGTGTATGTGGGGCTCTGCAAATGGGGGGCATCTGTGATGGTGAAGGATTATGTCAACTAAACATTCCTGGGCAAGGATGGGGCAGAGCCCAACTTATCAATCAGGCCAGCGCAGTCTGATGATGTCACCATTGGCAGTGTGGCCTTTTATATGAAAGAGAGAGAGACATGTTGAACCATCTTTGGCCCTTCACCTCTGCCCATCCCAGGACCTGTCATCAGCAGACTACCAATGGTAGATTCATTAGGCCGACTTGGGACTCATTCTACCTTTGCATCCACCAGCCTATACCCACTGCCTCCTCATCCTGCTTTTTATGCATCAGCTTCCATGTGTCAGGAGAAGCCTGACTTGAACCAGACTCGACTTAACCTATTTCCACAACTGTGTAAGCCATGTCTTGATACAAATCTCTTTCCACATAGAACACATCCTAATGTCACTGGTTTTGCATCTCCAGAGAATGCAACCTCGCACAGCATCCAAGACCATCGTCTAACAGTTTGGCTTAGTTAAGTCAGGCTCATAGACACGCAGAAAGAGAATGCCCACGGAAAATCCGTTTTCCATTTTGTCTTGTTCCCCCTTATTCTTTTAACATTAAGCACTTTATCCAAGATGATGTCCTAACTTAAACCCAGATCAAACATACCACCTTCAAACAAAACAACAACAAAGATCTACTGACTTTCTAAGCACTCACTCCCTGTCTTTGCAGCTGTGTAAGCAGAGCTTGGAAGCCTTGCACAAGCTACTATAGCCAGCATTGGCCCATCTGATTGGGGAGAGAACATATGGCCTCTAACGTCCATTACAACCCTACATCTTTGTGAATCTATGACAATTCATCTCAAGGAAATTTTGGGTTCACTACTGAAATATACATGAGATTTGGGGGTTAACACCAGTCCTCTGTTATTCTATATCCCTCCATGTGGGCTTGTTTTCTTCTTTATCCACACAGGAGGGGTGTGTGTGTGTGTGTGTGTGTGTGTGTGT